CGGGCGTGGGCAGCGACCCCGAGAGCCGCCAGCGCCTGGGGCGCAGACGGCCGGGAACCCGGGCGCGGCGCGGCCAACTCAGTCAACTCCGGGGCGCAGGGAGAACTCATTCATCGCGTCCTCCTCGCGCCCACCCGCCGGCTCTCCGCAGCGCCGGCTCCCCGAGGAGGTCTGAAGCAGAGTCGCGGCTCTCCTCTGGGCGGCAGCAGCGGGAATCAGGGGGCGGGAGGAGCGCGCGCGGTGCAGCTCCGCCTCGAGCGGCGCTGGGGGGCGCTGGGCGCGCGAGGGCGTCCCAGGGCGCGCCGCGGGAGGCGCCTCCTCGCCCGGGTTACGGGAGCAGACGGCGGGGCGCTCCCGAGGCCGTGCTCGCGCTGCCAGCCACTCCCTGGAGACAGCGCGCTCCGAAAGCCAATGGTGACGGTGCTTCTTTCAAAGTGCACATAAATCTGGTGCTTGTTGGTTACTCCCTGGCAGGTACAGCTGCAGTTCGCGAGCAGATGTCTCCATCGTCCCATCAGCGCCTTTCCTTGGCACCTTATGCTCTGCAAACGCTAGCTCGGGGTCTTAGAAGGGCAGAGTTGTAAACAGGTGCGTTACCGCGAAAACGAAATTGCTTTCTTTTAACTAAAAAAAAAAAAAAAAAAAAACAACAACAACAAGAAACAACTCTGGCTTGGACTGGAGCAACTCCATTGGAGAATGCAGGTTGAGAACAGGCTGAAAAGTCCCAAAGGTGGGTAGTAGCAAGCTTTCATAATTAGACGGGGAGAAGAGAGAAAAGGGAACTATCCCTCCGCTTCCAAGTTTGCCTTTGTAATCCGTGCCGTAAATTATGTATATACGCCTCTAGGTACATCATACTCCTTCACGTAATGCTTCCTCTAGCTGCCTCCTGAACTCCTTAAATTTAGCCAGTACTTTTCCTACCGTGCAAGGATTTCACAGGTAAAGATCTACCGACACCAGAGAGGTTTCCTCACGGGGCTCTTTCTTGGGAAGTAAAACAACAGTTGCCTAGGCTCAGAGCCGTTATGTGTTTCCAAAACCAAAAGATTTACACTAATAATTATGAATGCCTAGAATAATGGAAATTGTTTTTCTTAAAGCAGAATGCAGTGATGAAGATTTTCTTTCTAGACTGTGTTCTAAATTTCTTACTCATGATTCTTATTGGTGTCCAACCTTTTTTTCTATATTTTAAATGATACATGACAATATGCAACAGTGAAGATAAAAATGGAATGCTTAAGAAAGTGTTTTTAATTCCATTTAATGATTCACAGATAAGTATCTGCCAGAGAAGGAATCATCGCTGGAAACCTGGACATGATTTGGAATGCAAAGATAGCCAACTTATTAATTTTGCAATCAGACTCAGATGATCTGCTCAAAAAGAATAAAATTGAACAGCGTCGAGTTGTCCAAAGCTGTCCCACGTTTTCCACTGTAGTTTAAAGGTATACTTGTTTCTATAGTCTTAATAAGTTCTGGAGAAATTTAACATGCAAGAGCGAATACCCACATTTCTAATTGCTCTAAGATATCGTGTAGAGCCATAAGCAAAATTATCTATGCCCCAGCTAAAACGTCAAGTATTTTTGATACCACATTGTACTAGAAAATTAAGATGGCACCATTCTGAAAACAAGTATTCCTCTTCTAGGAGGCATGCAGTGGAACCTTCTTTCAATCCAATAGTGAATGCAGTGATAAAGTTTTCACCAAGTCAAAGCATTTCCCTAAGGGTCTTAAAAAGATAAAAATGTTTATGTATTAAAGAATCATCAAAATACCCAGAACCATTTGTGGGTCTCAAACACTGAACATCTCAAGTTTGCATAGTTAAAATTCCTAAAATATTTTCCAAGTCTTTCAAGGCCTGCATCAATGGCCACTTCTTCCACAAAACATCTCCTTGGTTATTTCCACTCCTTCTCAAATCTGACACCATTGCTGTGGCACGTGTTGCTACCCAGCCTCTCTGTGGCAGACATCATCTTAGGACTGAGAATTCAAAAGTGAAAGACCTCGTCTTTGTCATCTATTGTTCGGTCTTCTTGAGACAGTTGGCTTATACACAAATAATGGCAGTGTTGTGCTAACATAGGTCTATAAAATATGCTGTGAGGGTCCTGATGATGTAATAACTACTTATGTCTGGTGTTCTCAAGGTGTGCTTCATAAAGATAATATTGTTTGAGTATAGTGTTGGAAATAGACTAAAATCTTAAATTTTTCTGGGTGAAAATGGTAGAATAAAGATGGGGATAAAGTCTTAGTCTTTGACATTAAAAAATAGCAGTATACAAGGGCACAGAGACATGCAACAGGTGGGTGGTTGGAGAGACACAGGATAGGTATGAAAGAGGATCATCATGTAACATTAAAAATGTAAGTAGGGTTCAACTGAAAGTCTTAAAAGTCTTCTTAGGAAGTTACACATTTTGTGGGTGATGAGCGGTGACTATTGGGGTCACAGAATCCATAACACATGTTGAGGGTCAGGGTTTTGACTGCAGTGTGGGTGTGAAGAAGATGGGATGTAGTCAAGACATGTGTAACAACTAGACTATTGATTTATGAAGAATGATATGTATGAAGAATTATATTGGAAAAGGAAATGAAGTATGACACTAACTTCCTTGGTGTAGTCACCCCATGTATAATTGTTTGGGCCAAGTTTTGACTCTTCTTTTCTAATTCTAAAGTTAAAGCTCTTTCTGTTCTTTACCGTGTGGCCTGATAATTTTCAGGAATTGAGTATATAGATATTCATAGCCCTTTGTGCATGGGTTACACCTCATGACCTGGTCATGTTCACCATCCCACAGAATGAGCTAACTTTTAGTAGATAAATTCAAATCCACCTATGTGCTTTCAGGTTAAACTTTTCATCCAGTTTATGGCACTCAAATGCCTTTTTTATTTAGTTAATTACATGTATATTTTTGTCCTTTTAAACTACAGACTCTAAAATCATGACTTGTAATTTAAAATTTTGCATGTAGTTCACAGTGCCATAGTATATGTTCATGTAGCAGGTACTTCAGCATCATATCATTGCATTCCTATTGCCGTATGTCTTCAGAGTGTGTATTATTTCAATCCTTTAATATTGAAAAGTAACCATGGCCTTGGATTGCATTTACAATGCTTTTTTCCGTACACGTGACTTGGTATCTTTATGAAGCTCTTTTTTGGCTTGGCTACTGCATGAAATGCCCATTTTCTGTACAGTTGTTTGACCTCATTGTGCTACAAGAATGCCTGTCAGCATAATTTACAACTATACAGAATCCAATTTATGGAATGTACTAAAGCCCTTGTCTAACTTCATTTGTAAGACACCTTGCACAGCTCCTTAAATGATTTTTGATGAACAGTAAGAGAACAATTGCAAACTCCAGTTAACCCAATTAAGAAGTATTAGTTTATAATCTCTTGAAATTAATTTAATATTGAAGTCAGAGCAGAGATATTCTATATAAGTCCCTTTCAGTTTAGCCTGCTGGCTCTGATGCGTACTTCTTCCCTTCTTGTATCTATTTTACTGCATTGCTTTGTATCAGACAGGACAGATACCTACCCAAAGAATCCAGCAATATGAGAAATCTGCTCACTAAAGCAGGCTCAAGGGGGTAATTTTCTTCATTTATGCAAGAATGCCTGTCAAATAATGCAAACAAGCACAGCCACAGAATTTGGCAAGTATGAAATACAGTTAGAAGCACTTTATACGCCATAATAACTCATTCAATCTTCAAGAAAATGTCATGAACTATAAAGACTACTAGTATCCTCATTTTTCCAGATGAGAAAACAAAAGTTACAGCTAGTAAGTAGCAGAGTCTGCATTTGAAACCTATTAGTGTACTAAATGCCCAAAACCTTGACTAACCATATCCCAGGAGCACTTTTGCCTCCTTTGAATTTGCTCAGACTGAGAGCCATTCTGGTGACAAATTTGTCTTTCCAGTGTGTTAGTATGAGAAAGGAAGCATCCTAAGTGTCAGAGAGTAGGGTCTTTTCTAGCCTCATGCTAAGTTAATCGTCTCTTGGGGAGTTTGCGTAATGCCAGATCAATCACATTTGGACTGACTGATTCTAACTATGCTGAGAATGCCAATTTACTAGCAGGGCTCAGTTCAGAACTCAAAGGATGCTGCGAGTTTGTGACATCCTGCCATTTGACCTTATCAAGTGGTATTTCATTTTCTTTAATGCTCAAATTTAAATATTAGGTTTTAATATTTAATTTTTAATATGTGGGGTGTTTATAAACGATATCTATCTAAAATCCCTTACTTTATGTGAATAGTTTTTTTTTTTTTGGCAATGGTGGTGATACTAGGCATTGAACCTAGGACCGTCACACTAAGTTATACCCTCAGCTTTTTTTTTTTTCTTCTTCAGTACTGGAGATTGAAGCTAGGACTTTTACATCAAGCTACAACTGCCCTGTTTTATTCTTTATTCTGAAACAGGAGTACTTATTTAAAGGAAACCTACAGACATCACAGACTATATGGATACCATTGTTATTAACTGTCAATGAACTTTGTTAATCCTAAAAGGTTTTGCTTATAATTTTTAAAATGACTTTGTCTTAATTTTTCATCCTAAGAAAAGAATCTTTGCTAGAAAGGGAAAAATACCTTAAAAAATTAGTGGTTATGGTAACATAAGGTTGAATTTATTGAAAGGAAGGAGAAAAAAAGAAACACAAAGCAAACAGAAGACAACGCAGTAAGGCAAAACAATTTTATTTGGTGTGCGCTCCGGGGAGCCAGGCACTCTGCCTAGCACAGGATGTATTTACGCTCTAGTCTAACTATCAAGGCATAAGCAACATGAGACCTATTTCTCAAACCCAGCTAAATGCCAGCTAATTCTCAGTCATAAAGTGTGTCACAGCTGCCCTAGCACAAAAGATTAAAGGTACTTTTTAGCAGAATCAGTGAATCTACCATCACTAGAGAGAACTTCAAAAAGGTGAAAGGATGACTTAGCTCTCTTTAAAAACATTGTGAATATTATACCAGCCAAAGTAGGATAAGCAAATTCTCTCTCTCCAAAGCAAGTACTGGTCCATACCCTGTGGGTAATACCCACTCTTCTGCCCTCAGACAGTCTTGGTTCTGGGAGACAGAGGATGTTGTGATGCCTAAGGATAAGCTGAGTTTCCAC